AACCAATTCAACAGTTTATATATGTACAACTCAGTGACATTGATAACATTCTTTGAGTTGTGCAGCCATGCTCACCCTGCTTTTCCAAGTTGTCCCTCCATTAACATAAACTCATTGCCCACTAAGTTTCCTGTCTAATCTTTTGAGTTGCTGTTGTCAATTTGATCCTATATAGGTAGTTCTTAAAAGAGCACAGTGCTTAAGACAGGCATTGTTTGCTAGTTAAGCTAAACTGTCGTTTGGCTTAAAGAAGACTTCAGGGAGTGTTTTTGGTGTAAGGTTTAAAGATTATCTCAGCAGTAGTTTCTGGGGTTAAGAATACTGTATTATTCTTAGTTGATTATAGGGCTTTGAAGTGGTTCATTCTGGTTCAAACCCCTGCTGAAAATTTGCATTTCCACCTCAGATATACTGAATCAGAATTTATGTTTTCATAAGATCCCCAGGTGATTCTTATGCATAATAAATGCAGAGAACCTCTGTTCTACTAGTGGTTCTCATAACTGGTCCCTAACCAGCAGCATTAACATCACCTGGAAACTTGTTAGAAATGCAAAATCTCAGCGAGGGTTTGAACCGAAATAACTGGTTTGAAGCCCTGGTTTGAACCACTGACCTTTTAGTTAGCAGCCAAGTGCTTAACCACTGTGTCCCCAGGGCTCCTTGTGTGGTCACTAGAGGTTTGTTTAGATGTGAATATGCCTGCCCCTTCGGGTCTGTCCAAGTTGCTGTGGTGGGACTGGGCCAGCCAGCAGCTTCCTCAGGCTCAGGCTCCCCCAGCCCTGGGGGAGGAAGCCAGCTGCCCTGAGGCCTTGCTCATCCTTGGTGGAGCCGACCTTGTCCCAGGACCTGGGACCTGGCTCCCGATTGCCCTGCAAATGGGGCCTGTCCCACCTCTTCCTTGGAACAGCTTTTGTGCCTGCAAGAGAAACTGAGGGCTTCAGCAATAGAAAAGAGAAAAACATTTTTCCATTAAAAAGCGGATTTCACTGTGTACTGACTTCAGCTCTTTGTGCACACTCGTTTAAGCAGTGGCATTCTTTGCCTGCGTATTTGGGTGGCCTCATCTGCTGGGATCAGAGATAGCATTTACTGAGCACCTGGTATATGTCGGAAACCCTGGTGGTGTAGTGATTAAGTGCTACGGCTGCTACCATAAAAGGTCAGCAGTTCGAATCCACCAGGTGCTCCTTGGAAACCCTATGGGGCAGTTCTACACTGTCCTATAGGGTCGCTATGAGTCGAACTCGATGGCAGCGGGTTTGGTTTGGGTTTCGTTTTGGTATATGTCTGGCTCTGTGTTAGGCATTTTACACACATTCCTAATCCCCATCAGAGGGATCTCTTACCCTGCCAGAGCATGCCTAGCTGGTTAGAGGCAAAACTGAGATTAGAACCCTTGTTGGCCCCATTTAGATGTGTCGCAGTGCTGCTGAAGCCAGACCTTCATAGCCTGAAGGAAAAGCGGAAGTGTAGCAGATGCCTCCTCCCTTTTTGAAGCCATTTCAGTTATAATTTTCTATGCTGAGTTGGCAGGCACGGGACTGGAGCAGGAGTCAGGGGGAATGAATTCTGAGCCCCTGCTTCCTGGTCCCAGTGGATCCTTGGCACCTCCAGAATCCCCCTTGCACCCGCATCTTTGTATCTAAATCAGCCTGTCATTCTCCCGGACCCCCCCGCCCCCCTGCAAGAAAAAAAAAGATCCCATGGACACTGGCACTCTGCCAGTGTTTGGCGTAAAGAGCCCTTGCTGCCCACTCCTTGGGGCAGATCCGCCCGTGGCACACAGGGCTCGTCACCTCCCGAGGTCTGAGCCCTCTGACTTTTTTCCTTGTTGACTTCCTTAGAATCCACTCTGTGGTTTCTGTATTTGTACTCAAAAGACCTTTCAGTTGCAGTTTGAGTAAGATTTGTTGACCTCCAGCTGCCTGCTGGGTGGGGACTCTGCCTAAGAAAGGGAGTGACGTGGGAGCTTGCTCATCTGGCCCCCATCTTTCTCTGCAGGTGTCATGTGATTCTCTGTGGGAGCTGCTGCGCTAGTGGAAATGCTCTCAGTGGTGGAGGATGGACTGGACGCCCGGGCTGCCATCCCGGTAGGCGAGCAAGGGAGGGTTAGGGTTGGAAAGGAGAGACCACCATTTCATCAGCTTTTCTCACTTTTAAATGAATGGGCACTATCCAGAAAGAGAGGCTTCCGGTTGAGAAAAGTTATAGCAGAAGCAAGGTCTGAGGAGATCCTGCCCTTCCTCCATCATCTTACTGGTGATAAAATGGGAGTTTACGAAAGCGGATTTGAGATAGGTTTCCTGTGTGGTCGCACATGTGTTTGCCAACAGGTGGAGTTACATCCCCTGGAATGTTTCTCTAAAGGCTTGTGTTATGTTTGGCACTACCTAGGTCATCAAGAAGAAGCTGGTGGGATCAGTGAAGGCATTGCAGAAACAGTACGTTTCCTCATGCACAGTGGTCACCAGTGAAGACGGAGATGCCAACATCATGTGCAGTGCCCTGGAGGCTGTGTTTATCCATGGCCTGCATGCCAGGCACATCCGAGCTGAGGCTGGAGGAAAGAGGAAGAAGAGTGCCCACCAGAAGCCTCTGCCTCAGCCTGTCTTCTGGCCCCTCCTGAAAGCCATTACCCACAAGTGAGCTCAGCCTGGAGAAGCTTTGTGTTGGGGAGGAGTTTCTGTGTGTGGGATGCTTGGCTCTTCCTCTTTAGCTGTGAGGAAGACTTACAGAGCTTCTCTGTGTTCTAGTGTAGAGGTAGTGGATGGAGACAGTTGAAGGGTTTATCCTTAGACCAAGCTTCCCGCCAGGGTGCCATTAGATTTTGAGCCCCTTAGCCCTCAAAGGATGATCTGGGGCTGCTTTGTGCCCCAGGGCTGGCCTCCTTTGGCAGAAACAGCCTCTCCTGTTTACTTGAGGGTTCCAGACAAACATTTTGTATGTTTGTCACAATGTGAAAACCTTGGGAAACATTGCATTGGATGAGAGTTGGCAAGCTGGGGCTCATGGGCCAAATCTGTTCCACCACCAATTTTTGTAAAAAAAAAGTTTTGTTGGAACACAATCATACGCATTCATACGCATATTATCTATGACTGTTTTTCCCCAACCGTAGCAGAGTTGAGTAGTTGCAGCAGAGGTTCTATGGCCCAAAAACCCTAAAATATTTACTATCTGGCCCTTTATAAAAGAAGTTTGCCAACCCTGCCTTAGAATGTTTGAACATCTATGTGCTAAATATTTTACTTGTAAGTAGGGATGGTATTTTTTAAGGAGTGGAATCCAGGTGAAACATGCGAATATTCACCCGTGAGACATTTGTCTTTTTGGCCCTGCCCAAAAAGTACCTGGCACTATGCCTTTAACCAAAAACTAAACCTGTTGCAAGTCAATTCCAACTCATAGTGACACTATGGGACAGAGTAGAACTGCTCCACAGGGTTTCCAGGAAGCAGCTGGTGGATTCAAACTGCCGACCTTTTGGTTGGCAGCTGTAGCTCTTAACCACTGTGCTACCAGGGCTCCCCACTGTGCCATCAGGGCTCCACTGTGCCTCTAAGGGCTATTAAATGCCACCTTCAGGCTCAGGGTGCCTTGTCAGTCTCTGATCTTCCTTTCCATGCCTGCAACCACTGTCTTATCTCAGGTTCTTACTTTGTTCCTGGCTAACAATGGCTTTCTAATTGTCCCCCTTATCTTACTCTGTCTTCCATTAGGTCAGTCAGCAGGTCAACAGTTACTGAGCTTAAGCAACTCGAGACCTGAGTTATTGAGCCAAATAGAGTGTGGTCAGCCCGTTCGTGGAGGAGACATGCACACAGCACTAGGGTAGCTCAGAGGAAGGGCATTTACCTCAAACCAAGGGATACAGGAACTGAGTTTGGTAGACTTGGGGTCTGGTCTTTCGGTTCAGATAAATCCACCCTGAAATCTGCATAGTTATGGCCAAGTCACTTTTCCTGCACAAAAACCTGTAGCCCATAAGGCTCCCAAATGCCATTCTGGGGCTGCTGCTAGTCCTCTTGAGTCTGATTCACTAGGTTGGGGCCTCAGAATCTGTAACCTGATCAAGTTCCCTAGGTGATTCTGATGGACAGCCTGTTGTGAAACCATTGCGCCACTTTACCTTATCAGTTTGATACTCAAGACCCTCTACTACCTGGCTTTGCAACTGAATCACCTCCACGTGTTGTAATCAGAGTGCTCACCACTCCTGTTACATGTCCGTTGTTCCCCTACCCTTTTATGCCGTTTTCCTGTCAGTCTCTTGTGCTTAGAAGGTTCTCCTTCTGTCTCTGTCTCTTGAAATCCCTCAGGGCTGCCTTTTCTATGGTATTTTACTCATTCTAACCCTTAAATGATGCCAGAAATAGGGCTCAAAACCCATGTGCCCTTGAAAGGCAGTTGCTGTGGGCAGAGACCATGTCTTTACCCTGTATCTTCACAGCTCCAAGGAGCTTGCACTTAGGGGCTCAGCAGACATATCTTAGATGAGTAGTCGATGCCAGGGGTCCAAGGGATAGTTGTAATAAACATGGAAATTTATGACACCAACCTCAAAACCTTGGGGGTTATAGCTTAGATATTTCTAAATTCCCCTTAAAACACTATTATCCAGGATTTGTCATGTCTGTGTGTGTTTACAATCATTATTATTGATTCTTGCTAACTAGTGGATAAAATGACATCTCAGTGATTTGAGGTAGTTGCTTGAAACAAGTTTGTTTTCCCCCTTCCCAGACACATCATCTCAGAATTGGAGCACCTGGACTTTGTGAACACGGATGTGGGCCGCTGCCGGGCATGGCTCCGACTGGCCCTCAATGATGGACTGATGGAGTGCTACCTGAAGCTGCTCCTCCAGGAGCAGGCCCGGCTGTGTGAGTACTATCAGCCCACAGCCCTGCTTCGAGATGTCGAGGAGGGCGAGTTTCTCCTTAGCTTCCTGCAGGGACTAACGTCTTTGTCCTTTCAACTCTCCTACAAGTCTGCCATCTTAAACGAGTGGACACTCACCCCACTGGCTCTCTCCGGGCTTTGCCCACTCTCTGAGCTAGACCCTCTCACTACCTCTGGTGCAGAACTACAGCGGAAGGAGTCCCTTGATTCAATTTCCCATTCCTCGGGCTCAGAGGACATCGAAGTCCAGCACTCAGGCCATAAAATCCGGCGGAACAGGAAGCTCACTGCCTCCTCCCTCAGCCTGGACACAGCCAGTTCGTCCCAGTTGTCCTGCAGCCTGAACTCCGATAGCGGCCTTCACCAAGAAAATGGCTCCAAGAGTCCAGACTGTTCTGAGGAGCCCATGTCCTATGAGTCAGACCTGGGGACAGCAAATGCTGATGATTCAGACCGCTCTCTGCAAGAGTGAGTACCCCCCTACCTCCCTCTCTCTTTCCCTCCTTCTCTCTCCTTCCTTTCCTCCTTGCTTTCACATGGGATTTGTGATTGTCTGTCACTGAGCACTGAACTCTATTAGGGTATAAAGAAAGACAAAGGAGACATCATTCTTCTTCTTCAGGGACTGGAGGAGCTGGGAGCTGTAACTGGAAGCAACATGGGGGCAGTGGGAAGAATGGACATAGGGCTCAGAGCTGATTAAATGTCCAGCTCTGACCCTGGATGACCTTTGGCAAGTTACTTAGTCTCTCTGAGGCTCAGTGTAAAATATTTCAGTATAAAAAATTTTCATCTAGAAAGGAGGAAGCTAACAGTTCAGATGGATATCTACAACTTCCAAAAAATATACAACAAAGCATAATGCATAAGGGTGTGACGTAGTGACACAGAAGACATGGAGAACATGAAACTTGAATGGCCTGTGGAGGAGGTGGTCGACAACTGGGGACAAGCAAGCATGTAGAGGAGTGTATGGTGCAGATTAACCAACTAGAGAGGGAGAGCCTGGGACAGAGCCTCCTTCATACAGCCTTTTTTAAAAAAATTTTTGAATAGATAGTCTATTTTTATGGTGAATAAAAAAGTAGCCCTGGTGGAGCAGTGGTTAAGTGCTCAGCTGCTGACTGAAAGGTTGGTGATTTGAACCTACCAGCTGCTCTTCAGGAGGAAGATGTGGCAGTCTGCTTCCCTAAAGATTTACAGCCTTGGAAACCCTATGGGGCAGTTCTACTCTGTCCTGTAGGGTCACTAAGAGTCGGAATCGACTTGACGATAATGGGTTTGGTTTTGGTTTTTTGTCCAAAGGTCAAGGTGTCCAAGGTGCTCCTACCTTGGTTCAGGTCCTTACAAGGTTCCCATCTGGTGTGAGAATAATACTGGACTGGACTGGACTTGGAGCCAGAGCTGGTTTCACGCCCTGTCCCACCGTGTACAAGTCCACTAATGTCAGGCAACTTGCAGACTGTTTCTGAGGTTGTATTTCTTCATCCATAAAATGGAGATGCCCTTATAGGGCCATTTGAGAATCAAATCAGATGCCTGTTAATGACTTGAATACATGAGAATGTCTGATAGGCCCCATAAAAGACTTCCAAGCACTAGCACATTGGAATGGGATTTTCATGTGTCAAGCGGGGGAATTTAGATCTAACATATAGGGAAGGAGCTTCTCTCTCTCCGGAGATGGCTGGGCCCGTGGTGTGACTTAGGCTCTCTCACCTGTCTTAGCCCTTCTTGTGTCTCTGCCTCCTCCCACAGACCAGCCAGCCTTGTCTTGGTCATGTGCCTCGCCTTTATCTTTCATGAGTCTTGTGATTGGAAAATTCCAGCTTAAGGTCATTGAATCAGTGACCATCCACCCTGTGTGGGAAATGTTGTCCTGGCTATTATGGGGGAACTCAGAGGAAGAGGGTCAGGATATACAGATGAACACTGGACAGTGATGTGAGGAACTGGCAAACACTAAACACCCAGATGCGTAAACACACATCCAGCATCATCC